GGTTGCTTTCTTTATTTTTGTTCATTTCTCAACACTACCGACATGTTAAAACAAAGGGGTAAAAATTCATATAAGATTCCCAGAGCCATGTGATGATGCATCGTAATTAGTTGCAGATAATAAATTACATAAACATCTGGCTCTTATTAGTGGGTCATGGAAGAGGAAAGCCACTGTCCAATCCAATGTCCATCATAATTAATAACTGAAAGCTTATAACCAATTCAAATTCAATAGATGTGGCCACAAACGGCCACGCAATACAATAATGATAATTGAAAGGGCTCAAAGATAGAGAAAAGGTGTACAGACTGACTTGACAGCACCTGTTTGTATTTTTTTTTTTTAAATTGTCTAATCATGTGTCCCCCCTGTTTTGAACATGTCTTTGAATCTGTTTGTGTAGCACAATACGAAATAAAGTAAAGATTCACAACACGTGGACCAAATCCCTTAATCGAATTCAATACCACTTACTGGACTTTGAACTATATTAAATACAGAATAGTGTTGAGAACTCTTACAAACTTTACCTATTACTATGTGGCACCATTGGATCCCACCTAGTGGCGGTGGTGCGGGTCAGGAAGGGGCTGGTATGAGCAGAGTCCCACCAAATCTTTACTCTTTGCCTGCAATTATTAAGAAGTGTATTCAAGGGCTCTTAATTCTACTTGATTACCTATGTGGCTTGCATTGTTTTTTCTTCACAAACGTGAGTGGTTTCTTACTGAATTAGTAGTACGAAATGGTACCAAATTTTACGAATTGGTTTGAAATTATATGAAATAGTATAAATTGGCTAGAAATGGTACGAGATGGTTCAAAATAGTATGAAATGTTACGAAATTGTAGGAAATGGTACAAGATCGTTCAATTTGCTTAGCTATTATAGCTTCTTGTTTTGGCTCCTAAGGATTCTATAGTTCAGAGCATCCGAACCCTCTCATAGAACCGAACAACTAAGGCTAAGAGAAAAAAGTACCCGAAAGTCTTACCTAACGGAATAGGATTAGTGTCCAAGCATCTAGACTCATCCCTACGTGCAAGCAAATTCTGTAATCGACAATAAGTGGAGGTCAATGTACTAGGAGATCACGAGCACCAATGAGCTATCCAACGAGCAAGTATGATATACAGAGTCTAACACTTGTCGGGGAAGGTAACAAGGAGAAGTGTTAATTGGTTTGAATGAAAATTCGGCAACATTATATCTAATATCCTGGAGGTAGCTTTCTAAGTCAAACCCAATTCTGCCACTCCAAACCTTAGAATTAGACCCAATTAACGACACTGCTCAAACTTGATCGACTATCATAACAATTAATGGACGATGAACTATATACGTAAATTATAGACACCCCAATATATAATTATTACAGAGGTACTTCATGTCTTTTAAAAAACAATAAGTTTATTTGTACATAAGA